GCGCTGGCTCGTCTCCATGGCAAGGTGGTCTTCTTGCCAGCCCCAGCCGTCTGATTAGAGAGCTAAAGCCAGCTCTTTGCAGACTAAGGAGGGCTGTTTGCTCCCTTCCCAGAGCCTTCTGGTTGGGCTGGAAAGGGACAAGCTTTGGCCAGGGGAAGGGACGGGCTGCTCCTTTTTCATGCCCATCCAGGTCTTGTACAGCCTGGGCTGGAGCAAGCTTCCTTTCCCCAGTCTTGGGATGGCTGAGCCTCTGGAATGTTGGCTGGATCCTGGCTCTCTAGAGGTACTGTTTGCTCTGGATAGTGACAGTGGGTTACGGGCCTGTGTTAAGTGGCCTCCCCCAGAGGCCATTGAGCAGACCATGGCCAACTTGGTTTCAAAAGCGTTTCCAGTTTGGTTGATAAAGGTGGACTTCGAAAGAGGCCATCCCCCCCCCCCCGCCTGTGCTCGTGCCTGCCCCTTCAGGTGTGTGTGGGGGGGTCTTTGTAAGGCTTTTTCTTAGGGGATTAACTCAACACAAATGTCTCTGTGTAGCCACATTATTTTGACCACCCGAAGGGCCAGAAATAACCCCTCCCCTTTTGCTGTCTAGCTGCGCTGGAAGTTAAAAAGTATAGCTAAAATGTTTTGGCTGTTTTAATAAATACAACTCTTCTTGTCTGTCCGTTTTGCAAATGGATCCCAGTGCCATAAATCTTCCAGCTTCATGAGTCACCTTGGGAGGGCGGCTGATATGGATTGGCTTCTGGCCTTAAAGGGCAGAATCCTCACCACGGCTCTAATGTCTGACTTGCTGTCATGACGCTCAGGACCCGAAGGGAATTTTCTAGGAGCAAAACTAGAAACGGCCCTGGGGAGGCGGAAGCAGGTTGTGGCATGTGCCGGTCAGCTGGTCCCCAGGAGGTGGGTGGTCAGTCGCGTGAATGGAGTCCAGCTCTTGGAAGGACCGTCGCCTGCCGTTGTCCAGCCTGAGCGTGGACTGAAGGAGAGTTGTGGACCTGTTTGCTTCAGCTTTTCCTCCTTTGGACTTGGCCTCCTTGGGTAGATCAGGCAGCAAGCCAACTCCAAGAATTTGTGGCTTTCCACAGTGGCTGCCGTGAAGAGCCCTGCTGAGCTCTTGCAAGCTCAAGGCCACGGCTCCCTTGATCCTGTTGCACTCCGATTGTGTAGGGCTGGCGTGCCCGTTGATGCTAGCCAGGAAACCTCTGTGCTTACCCTCTGCCTTTGGAGTCCACACCCCAGAGAGGTCTGAAGCATGACGTTTTCATTTGGGCTGATTGCAGCCTTAGGGTAGCTTGCCGCGGTGGAACATTTATAATTTGGGAATTACCTCTTGAGTGAGGTTTTCACCTCCATATTCTGCAATATGCAGCCGAAAGAGGTGGAAGAGGACTGAGTTGTATCTCTTCAGACGAGGAGGGAAAGGTGTGACTCTGCATAGAGGTTTGTTTGGTGAAGCCCTAGGTAAGAAGCTCAGAGGAGCCCGGAGGCTGGCTCAGGCCAAAGGTCTCTGTCGCCCAGTATTCGGTTGCCACAGCAGCCAGCCTGAGACCCTGTAGGAATCCCAAGGGGAAGGAGGGTGCCTCCATCTCGGGCCGGCAGCAGATGATTACGACACTGTTGGCTAATCTGGAAAATGGCCTTGATTCTCTGTTCTGCATTCTTAACACTGAGGAGCATATAGGGTGGTATTCATTAAGCTGGTGTAAGGGAATTGGTTCCTAGCCAGAGCCTGGAAATCCCACTGCCCTGCCCTCCCTCTCCCGCCTGGTAGTTCTGCCAACATTGGTTGGGTGTGAGGCTGCCAGAAGGGTTCCCCTTTGCCCAGCGGGTTTCCATCTGACTTTTTCCTGGCTCACTTTTCCACCCCATCTGCCTGGCCCGACTCCAGCGTTTACCTTGGGAAAGGTGAAATGTCAGATGGCGCCTTCTGGCTCCCCACCAAGCCAGGAAAGATGCCTTGAGGAAGGAGAGGAGGTTCCAGGCAGATTGGAGGGGGGCGAAGGCCTGCTCCTGTCATTGGCTGCCTGCTGGGGGATGGATGTGGGTCTCTCTCTCTCTCTCTCTCTCTCTCACACACACACACACACACACACACACACATACACACACAAGGGCAGACATTTTTCCATGTTGAAAGTCACCTCCGGCAGGAATGTATTTATGAAAGACTAACACTTTTTCCTCTCCTTAAAACCCAAAGGCCAGCAGAGGACACCCTCCCAGTGTTGTCACTGGTTTGATGCCTTTGTAGATGAGGGAGGCTCCACCTGTGTGAAGCTGGCATCCACAGGGCACTGGCAGATGCCTCTGCGAGAATAAAACCTCCACGCTCCGTTTTCTTCCTTCTCCCTTTGTGTCCAAACAGACTGGGGGGAAAAAGAAAGCTGGCAATGATCAGCTGTGATGGCAGGGTTTCAGCTTCACTTTCCTGAGTGTGTAGATTCTCGAAACATGGTTTTGAAAGAGGAAGGCTCTGGAACTGCCTGCAGTTCATTTTCCTCCTGGTTTTCTTTGCAGAGGAGTCGAGATTATTGTTATAGGCCTTATTATTATTGTTACCACGACTGCCGTTGCTGTTGTTGTTTTACTTCCATGCGGAAAAGAAGTGGCTTTGTTGTTTGTCCCTAATTTTGGCCATCGTTTCCTTCTGTCTGTGCCTATGACTAACAAATCGTCCTGTCAACTTAATTTGCTTTTCTATCAGTCCGACCCTCTGCATCCATCAGATACCACCATGATGTGTATGGGAAGAAAAAGCTGGCAGGAGCTGAGGGTCTGCGTGACTAATGCAGGAAATAGTTGTCTCTCTAAACTGGGAGCCAAGCTAAGCAGCCGAGACACAGATCAAGTCGAGAGAGGCCTTCTCGCTTGCTTGAGGCCGAGTGCCGTGCCCTGTGCCATGAGGCGGCAGCTGCGAGCAGCGTACTCCTAGCTAGGATCTGTGTCTGAGGAACGTGGGAAGGCTTGTGCCGCTTCTTCTCCATCTTTGGTAAACCCAGATTTGAGTTGGTTGATTCTGACTTGTAGCAAACTGTAGTTGGTCTTACCCAAATCTTGAAAATTTAGTTTGCTGAAGAACAGGATTGGGAACTTTGAAGTCTGCAGCAGAAGGGGAAGAGAAGGCAAGAGTTTTGTGCGCATGTGTACATGCCTGAGCTTTATTTGGCTTATATCTCTTTGTTCTACCTCAAAGTCAAAGCATCTCATACAAGGTCTGAGGGACAGGTCTAGAATGCCAAGAGTTGCCATTTGTGTGCATGCCAGGCGAGCGATAGTGTACTTCCCTCCCTCAGAGAGCCTCCTCCCTGAAAACGAGGGGGGAAACGTTGATCGCCTTAGCCACCCGGCTCGTTTTGCCCTTCCTGCAGAGCGATAGGCTGCACCTTGCCCGGCGTGTCGGTAGCCATTCTCTCTCTCTCAGTCTCTCTCTCTGGACCTGCTGGTCAGTCTCTTGTGTAACAGCCTTCTGCAATGGGTGCTTTCAGCCTGTGTATGTGAAGAGCCATTTCAGCTGAAAGAGTCCCCCCCCCCCGGTCCACCGGCCTGCCAGGTTTGCTAATGAATCCAGCACATGCGGCATCAATGGCTGCATTTAGAAGTTCACCCGTTCACGGAGCTTCTTCCACCCTGTCTTGGCTCTTGGCATCTTTCTCTGTACAGACGAGGCTCTGAGGGAGTGCATCCTGCACGTCGCTCCAGTCAGGGAGGAGGTCGTTTGCCAGAGATCTTGCTGAGCTGAAGAAGGAAATGTGCGGCCCGGTTCCATGTGTCCCTTTGGAAAGGGAGCATGAGGGTGGCGGCTGGGGACGGGGGATGCTGGGCAGGGAGCAAAAAGTTGCCACAGTGCGGAGGATCCCATAACCCTCTGCATGTGCTAAATTAATTACTAATGGCTTATATCAGAGCATTTTTTTCCTCCTTTCATTTTTAAGTTGTTTTAAGTTAATTAAATGCCATCAGGCACACTTGAAAATGGTCCACAAAAATGAATTAGATCTTTAGAAAGAAGGACTTTCCCATTTTATATTAATTTTCATTTTTAAGATTTCCTATTCAAAGGAAACCACAGAATATGAGCCAAAGCCTCAGGTCTCCATAAATGGAAGCTTAATTTTATTGCATTTATCTCTATGGCTGCAATTAATTATTCAGAATGTTCATTAAAATTACAGTCCTGGTAAGTGACATTTTTGAAATGGGCATTCTGAGTTTATTGAAATTGAAGGATGGGGTGATAAAGAAATGGATGTCCAAAGGCAGAGCATAAAGTGCCTCAAAGGAGCTTCAAAGAAAATGCCCCGTTAGAAGTGGGTGAGAGGGACCTGGCCTGTGGCTCCATGGGAAGCAAAGCAGGACGGAGGAGCCTGGCCTCGGCCGGAATGGTTTGGGCCCCAAAGCCCCCCCCCCCCGTGTGTGTTTGTGTTTGTGTGTGTGTATTTGGATCCCTTGACAGATCTGGCTGTGCCACCTTTGCCTGACAAAGAAAGCACTGATGCTAAAATGATAAACACTTCTTACCTGCCTCTTCCTTACTTCCTTTCCTCCCTTCCCATTTCTACTGGTAAAAATAACCCCTTGCTGGGAGCTCTCTTGCGGGTCTGAAGGGAGACCATCCGTTACTCTGCAGGAACTGGAGCCGTCTTTGGCTTTTGGCACCAGCCAACTCCTCCCTCCCTGCTGTGTGCTCTGAGTTGATTGAAAAAATGGAAGAAATTCTGCCAGAGGTCAGGGGGCATTACATAATTCCAGCAAAGCAGGCAGCTGCTTGAAAGAATTATAAATTCTAGGAATGGGACCGAGGCAGAATATGATGGATTACAAGCTTTAGCACACAGTGCATAGTAAACAGCCTTGAAACCGAAAGAGGGAGAAAGCCATGCTTAGAATGTCTTTTGTGGAGGGATGTAATAAAATTCCAAGTGTGGACTAATTAATGACCCAAGTGTTGCTTTCTTTTCCCATTCCCTGATTTCTCTCTCTGTTTGTTCTCTTTGTAGTGTCGTCCCTCAGACCACAGTAATACTCAACAATGACCGTCAGAACTCCATTGTAGCCAAGATGGTAGGACAGGAAGAGCCATTGAACAGAGCAGCAGATTCACTGGAAAATATCCTGAGCAAGTGAGTAATGGCTGCTCTCTAATAGCTTCCCTTGGTTAGAGACCCGGGGAGGGGGGGGGAGACGACAGTGCTGGCTTGCAGCCCCTGTCCCAGCGGTTTGAATCCAGTGTCTATTCCAGCCTCACTGAGACCTTTAGCAAACACACACACACACCGTCCCCACTGACAGCATCTCTGATTCTGTTTGGCTCTTTGTGGGCTTTATGGATTTCCCCTTCCTCACCTTGGAAGGCTACCTGTCCTAGGAAATAAGACGGTTTGTGTTCTTTGGGCTCAACAACATTGCCTTAGTTTTCTGATACCAAAAGAGTCTGCGGTTGAGTCTGCAAAAAACCCAGCTGGTTGCCTTAGTCTGTTGCGGCAGATTGAAATCAGTCAGGTGGTTTCCCCACCACCACCACCACCACCACGATGTTTCCACCAATTCCTCCTCTCTCTTTCCCTCTCCCCTACCCCAGCGCTGTCCCCGGGAGAAGGCAGAACACCATTGTGGTGAAAGTCCCGGGGCATGAAGACAGTCACAACGAAGACGGGGAGAGCGGCTCCGAAGCCAGTGACTCCGTTTCCAACAGCGGCCAGTTGGGGAACCAGAATATCGGGAGCAACGTGACCCTCATCACCCTGAATTCTGAAGGTAGGTGGGTCTCATGGTTTGAGCTCTGTTGCTGGAGTAGCGCTGGCGTGTCAGGGCGGCTGTATTCTTGGGGTTCCTTTCCACGCCTCAGTTTCAATGTACATCTGCACAAAGTAGTTGTCACCTCTGTGGCCTGGCAAAGCAAACTGACCCGTTTGCTTCATTTGCTGCTCAGCAGCAGCCGTGCTGCTTTTAAGTTGCATCTGATCCTTCTTGGACCTCTTCAGAGGCCTCTCTGTTCTCCCTCCCAGGAGTTAACGGAGCCACGCTGAGCTGGGTTTTCTGTTGAGGAAGGAAAGAATGATAGGCCTCGGGTTTCTTTCCAGTTGTCAAGAAGGGCCCTTATCCGCCCGACTGGACTGTCACTCAGCCCCTATGCTCTGTGATTCTGAAGCAACAGACAGGAGAAGACACACAGGCATCCTGAGCAATGTTAAACCCAAGTGTTCCGCTTTTTGCCCTTCCTTGGTCCAAATTGACCTTCCTTCCATTCATGGAACTTTCCCGGAACAGAGTTCTTTTTTTAAAGAGACCCCCGTTGTCTCAACAGATCAAGAGCACTTGATTTCAATTTCAAATACTATATGAGGCCTTCAGAGCCGTGACCTAATTCTGCGGTTGTGCCTCAGAGCTGAAATGCTGCCCTGTGAAAACAACTCCACTTCTCTAGGAAGCAACAGAATGTACCAGCCCTGCTGCCTCCTGTAACTCATTATGCCCTTCTCTTAATGTGGAACTCCTCTGAAAGTAAACAGTTACTTTGGCAACTCTAAACAATATTTTTCAAAAACAGGAAATTCCTATCAAAAATGTATTGTTTATGGGATAGCCTTGTCAGCATTTTCTCTGCTTCCAAAAAACCTCCCCAAATCTCTTAAAAATCAACATCCCTGGAATGCAGCCATTTGGAACATGCCTCTAATAATACTCTTTTTTGTGCTGTATGTATGTATATATTCGAAAATTAAAAATAGGTGCAGCGATCAGTTGAGCAACAGATGTGTCCAGGAGTGTGCAGAGCAGCTGGTGTGTGTGTGTGTGTGTGGGGGGGTCGGTCTGGGGCAGGCATGTGAGAGGCCTTCTCCTTGTTAAGATGGTGGCTCTTCCACTTCAGGATGCGGCCTGAGGGGCCGGCGGAGGGAGCAGCTCGCACAAGGGAGCATTCCTCCTTAGGACGGACACCCTGCCTGGCTCCTCCTTTGTGTGGAATCCCCATCTGGGAGGAAGGCTTGTTCTGTCCTCTCTGGTGTGTGTGCTGACTTGCCAAAGGGAAGAAATGCTTTGTACCGAGGCCACCCTTCTCCCGCATCCGTCTGAAGCGGGACATCCCCGGCAGAGTTGCATCGTCTCCACGGGAGCTTGGAAAGCTCCTTTCAAGAAGAACCGATATGAGGCCAGGCTCGGCCCATCCGTGCTGGAGCCTTGGCAGGAGAATGCTCTGGGACCCAGCCGCGCCATGGCTGTTGCAGTCACCTTTTTGCCTTTTTCAGTGTGGGGTGAGGCATGAGGGAGATGTTCTGGGTCTGAGGCTGGGAGAAGAGTCAGCTCCTGGCCCAGAAGGTTCCCATATTAGGTTTTCCATCAGTTTCCTTTTTCTCCCCCTCCACTTGGCCTCATGTCTTCGGGGCGCAAGGTCAGTTGGTTCTTTCTTGGGCCTCCACCTCTTCTTCCTTCCAAGCCGGGAAAGGTGTCGCAAGGAAGAACGGGGGTTGGGGGAGATGCTATGGGGACCTTGCCAGGGGGTGGGGACGGCCGGACTCCATTCCTTTATTGACTCACCCTGGAACCGGAGAACCAGCCTACTGTCCTTCACACTTGATGCAGCTTTGCATCTGTTGAGGCAATCAAGAACTGAGGCATGGGCAACACCGCCAGGCAAGGGCCAAGCAAGGAGTCTGCCAGGATCCTGAAGGGGAGAGTCAGGGTGTCTTAGGCCATGCAAGTCAAGAGAGAGGGAGGTGAACGGAGTGGAGTGAGGGGAGCCTCAGACTCAGGGTTGAGGAGTCGTTGCAGGTGGACTCTGTAAGAGGACAAGGTGGAGCAGAGGACTAAGTGGGATCACTCAGCTTTTCAGAGACACAGGAGACCAAAGGTGCTTCTGAATTTGGGTCCCCCTCTGCCAGGTAAAGCAGGCGTACCTACAGAAGCCAAATGCAAGCTGTTTCATTGAAGTTTATGGAGTATTATCAAACTGAGACGTAAGTAGTGCTTAGGTGGCACGATGGGGTCTGTGTTTTCCCAGTTTTTGCAAAGGTTCATTTGTGAATGGAATCTTGCCGCACAATAAATAAAGTTTCTCTCATTTTGTAATCCCATTTTTCTAAACATCAGGACAGCTGTTGTAATAGTGCAATTCTCTCAGCTGTTTATTTAAGGGAAGCAATTTCTAGTGGAGCAAAAAAAAAGGGAGGGGTTGTCACAGCCTGTCCGTTTCAACGTGATCCTTTGGCACAGACTTCCCTGCAGACAGATGTCAGCCTTTTAATAGGATTATTGTGTACATAAATGACCCATCCAGCGAAACTCTCACTGATATGTATGAACTCTGGGAGAACCAAGATGAGTCGTGGGAACTGCCCTCGACTGAGGTCAGTGTGCTAAAAACCGGCCAAAGCAGCCTTTCGTCCATGCTGAGTCCCCCAAAGCAGCGACCCAACTTCTCATCTTTTCTATGTAAATATATTGTACACGTGGATGATGATGATGATGATTTAAGAGTGAGGCCCTGAGCCCTGGGGAACCAGGAGATGGAAGACCTGTCTTGTGTTTCTCTGAATGGAGAAGCTTTGTCCGTGCTGCAAGAGAAACTCTGCCCCACTGAGGACTTGACCTCGGTTGGAAGATGCCTCTGAAAATTAAGGTCAGCCCGTGCTCGGTAGGGATCTTGGCTGCCGAGCAGGCAGGCTTACTGTGTGTTTACAAAATATAACATCCCATCGCTCAGGTTCCAGCTGAGCAACCCAGGGCAATTGGCAATAATTACGAAACCAGGAGTATCAACAGAGAATAAGGAGCTGAAAACAGCATAAATGAGCAAAATTAAAACAAAGGCCAGTCAAAGCAGATGAACGACCGATGATGAGGGTCTTTGCCCGGAGCTGAAGAGGTCCAAGGCCTGGCTGCAGGGGCGCCTCTCTGCGGGTCGAGTTCTGTGACGGCTGCCCACACTCCCTGCAAAAGAGCTGGCAAGGTTCTCAAAATGTGGGCCATCAGGATTGAGGCAGGCTGCTTCCCTTCAGAGAAAGACCCCCTGCTTTTGATCTATCATGCGCTGATCAGACAGGAAGGCTGTCCCTGAGCCTGGTGGAAGCCCAGCGTCCTCTTCCGCAGAAGCGTGTTTCAGCAAGTGAGAATGGAAGGGCAGCTTCTAATTCATTTCAAACCACCCTCTCTGTGTTCTTGCAAAGGCTCCCCCCCCCGCCCGCCTGCTCCGTGTTGAACAGTTTGTAGAAGTTTGGCATGTTGCTTCGTGTGCGCCTGGGCTTCCATCTGCTTTGGCTACTTTTTCCAAACAATGTGTGTTTTGGTGACAGAGGTATTCTTGATTGAGTATAAATGTTTGCTTTAAAAATTAATTGTTACAAATGGCAGCACAACCTGTCAAATGGCTTAGCAAAGCATTTTGTCCCACGCCAGCATTTATCAGCACGGACGGAGGCTGAGCTTTTCCGAAAACAGGGGAAACATTCAAACTTTTTGTACGGCAAGGTCATATTTTCTTCTTCACTCCAGGGAAATCAGAGGTCAGGATGGAATAGGAGAAATGTTTCTTTCAGTTTGCCACAATTAATATCAGTGCCGCCTTCTTCTTCTTCTTCTTCTTGACATTTATTAAGCTGTATTCATAAGCCCTTTCCGGTTTTCTAGGGAGTATAAGACTAGTGAAACTGGGGACAGAAATCTGAGAGTACACATTTGAAAGAAGGAGGGAACTCTGTGAACTGGATCTTGTGCGACCGGCAGCCAGTCACATCCAGCCTTCTGTAGCATCAGTTTGCAACCTGTGGCCACAGTGTTCCATGGTGGGACACAGAAGTAGAAGCAGAGATTGCTATCTGAGCTTCCCAGTTGTAATGTAGATTTTGATCGCATTTATAAAACTAAGCAAATGCAGATCCATCTGGTAATTTTAAAAAAAGAAGAGATTAGCAAAGAATAGTAACCAGATTGGTTACTATTGTTTGGCTAATTGAATACTGAAGTTGGACTTTCCAATTGATTCCAGATGTGCAAAGGACAGCCCGAAGTGTTATGTCAGCAGATGGACCCGTGGAGAGAGTTGCACAGTTTAACACGCATTTGGAAGGAATTTTACAATATTAGGAATTTGTGACAGGGGCAAAATACTATTATATTATGTTAAATTAACTATTGTAAGTTAAGACACTAAATTACATGATGAATAGAAAGTTGAATTGAAACTGGTTTTAAGACATCCGTTTCAAAGGGTGTATTGAAGAGCGCTTAATAGGAAATGGACCTGGAGCTGACTCTTCCCAGAGATCCTCTTATCGGTCGTTTTGAATAAAGGAGGAAGAAGGGCAGCTGGTGTTCCAGCCAGCGGGGAACTTCCTTGTGCTTCCCATCGAGGTGAGTGGCTCTGCCAAACAGAAGCCTGCCCCAGCTGAGCCCCCACAGAGGGCTTTGTTATCGGAGAACTGCTTACCTACCTCCCACGTCCACTTCCTTGGATGCTGTCGTTGGCCACCTACAAGGAAAGAACACACCATTTATCTTTGAACAGCTCTCTGTAGAGGGAGGTGAGCCTAGTAACAGGGTACGTTGGGGGAAATAACCGCCATTAGGGTTATTTTCCTAGCAGGATAATTTGTTTCATCAAAAAACCCCTTTCCAAATTGCCCACGACCGCCTCCTGCTGATCTCTGTTCCATTCCTGTCCTGTGAGGTGCTTGGAGGTTTCGGGGAATGGCTATAAAGGGGCCCCTGGGCGCCCCGGCGGCTCCCCTGGCGTGTGTCCCATGGGCTCTGCAGAGGCTTGG